ACACACACACACACACACACACACACACACACACACACACACACACACACACACAGTAAGAGGGTTTGTGTGTTTAACCAGTCAACATCTGAACGGGAGAAACCACGGATGTTTTTTTAGGTTCTAATAAGAAGGAAAACATTTCTTCCTCAAACACTTCACTTCTTTCACCCAGAAGTTACAGACCTGACCTGACAAGCTAATGAGGAGCGCTAACTCACTCAAAACTTGTTCTCCTTCTTTTCCCTCTTCAGGAGTCACTGCAGTGACTCATCCTCCTCCATCTCACTCTGTCCAAAAAACTCTATGTCCTTTCCTAGTCTCCAACATCCTACCAATATACCCACTGTCCCTCCTCTGTCCTCCAACTGGTCTGTCCCTCTGATGATCTCATTCCTGATCCTCTCCATCCTCATCTCTCCCAAGGAGAACCTCAACATTTTCATCTCTGACACTTCCAGTTCTTCTCCTGTCTTTTTGTCCATGTCTCTGTCTTCAAACCATACAACAGCTGGTCTCACCGAGTCTCTTGTAAACCTTTCCTTTGACCTTTTCTGCCACTCTTTTGTCGCAAATCACTCCTGAAACTTCTCTCCATCCCGCCTGGACTCTTCTTCACTTCTTTACCACACTTCCTGTTTTCTGGACAGCGGACTCAAATCGTTCCAGTAGTCCTGGGAAATGGTAATTTCCCAGCTCCCATTGGTACATTTAAACTGGAACGCCCCTTCCAGTGGTAATATTCTATTTGTATAGTGGAAGAAAAGAAACTGCCCCCAGTTTTGATTTCAAGATGGCGGCTACTCGCAGCTTTAGAAAGTTAGCTCCGTAACTTTTGTTAATTATCTTTCTTAATGTTTTGGTGCATGTTTAATCACTCGCACAAGTAGTGTGTTTTCTGTGCAATACTGTACTTATTAAAATCAATGTTTATTTGCATGACGACCGTAGTAGAGCTCTTTTTGTCATTGTTTATATTGTAGCAGTGTTGTAGCTAGGTTAGCGGCAACAACACAATCACCTGTCGGCTAACTGGAATGCAGTTTGATATGGTTTGTTGGAAAATGACGTCACCACCATTAACCAGTTCTGGGAATACGATGTAAATGGAACGCAGCAAAAGTCCTTGAAGTCCTGGACCTTTGTGAGCTCTGCCTCCCACTCATTCACACACTGTCTTACTACAGACTACCATCTTACTTCAAGCTTTAAATCACTCCAATCCTACAGTTTATTTTTAGCAAGTAGCTAAATGAGCATTTTCTACCTCATATGTCCAACTGTTTCATTGTGAGGAAGTAATTATAGCAGGGTTCATGCAGGTTTCAGTAAGTTAAATTTAAGACCTTTTAAGACCATTAATGATGACATTTAAGACCAAATCGACGCATTAACAGAAACATTTAAATGGTCCCAGAAATGTTATAATAGATATCTTTTATTGTCATCAATTTAGTTATTAAATATTTAATTTTAATACATGAACACTAAATTATTTGAATGAAACGGTCATTTCTGACTGATGTGAACCACTTTCAACTGAGTGAAAAAAAATCACTGATATCAAGTCAAGTCTGATTGAAAACACACTTTCCCATGTTTAAACAACAAGCAGTGGACAAGACTGAACTTCTGTTTATTTGAGCAGGTAAATAAGCTGCTGTATGTTGGGGGTTGTATGTATGTGGGGGGCTGTATGTGGGGGTTGTAGTGGAAAAGAGGTCAAAATCATGGAAGTAAACTGAGCCATGTTTACCTGCAGTTATCATGGGATTTGTAGTTTAATCATGACCAGTAGCAAACTTAGCCCTTCATGAAGACAGATCGGGTCAACCTCTGATTACGACTCTTAACTTTATTTATTTATGCAGCCAACAGTTCTCAGGAATGATCAAAAGTAGAAAAAAATTAAGACTTGACAAAATTAAATTTAAGACCTTGGGTGAAAATCTGGGCYTTTTTAAGACTTTTTTTTTGGCCTAAAATTTTGATTTTCAAACTTTAGACTTTTTAAGCCCCGGTATGAACCCTGTTATAAATAAGGATAAAAAGGGTTACATGTTACCTGTCCTCCTCCCCGTCAACAGGTATATGGATTCCAAACAGGCTGTTGACAGTCGGGGTGTTGAGATTCAGGCTCTCAGGCGTGAAGGGCTTCACCACCTCCCTCCCGGACACAACCGGAGACTGCGCAACGATGATTCCCTCCGACTTCCTCCCACCACCGGCGCCCTCCGCCTGTCCAAATCCAGCCACCGGGAGGCCCTGCACCCCCAGAGCCACGGGGGCCATGCTGTGAGCCATCTGAGCGGGAGGCAAACTGGAGCTCGTCACATTTGGCATGGCTGCACTGGAGGCACTGAGCACAGCAGTGGGCACGCTGACGGGCACACTAGAACCCACCGCCATAGCAGGCACGTTCTGCACACCAGAAGACAGGGGCTGCGGTTGTGCTGTGGTGGGAAACTGACCGGGGGCCTGCTGGGGCAGACCTGATCCAGCAGCGACCAGTATGGAGCCCCCATTACCTCCGAACCCTACAGTCTGCTGCAAGGACACKGATCCCCCCAGTGCTCCAGGAACATCTTCAACCTGACTTGGCGCCGAAGCTGCTCCAGAAGCAGGGGACATCACCGGAGCAGGGACTAGTCCAACTGTCCCCGCAGAGAGGCTGGACACCGGCAGGGACTGGACACCAGACTGCACTGCTGGCATCGGTTGCTGCTGATAGTACTCCGTCTGGTGCTGCAGCAGTCCTGACGGCGGTCCGGTCATGTGGTGACCCAGAGGAACCTGCTGCTGGGGCGTGTACAACGGAGGCATGATGGGGGACTTCTGCAGGAGGAGGTCAGGGTGGGGCGGGCCGTTCTGACCCACGGGAAGCACGCTCTGTGCGAGGTGCGGCTGGGGAACTCCGACTGCTGACGGAGCTGGAACCGCTGCGGGCTTGATGCCGGGGAAAGAAGCGTGCGCGGCCGAAGCGCCGAGTCCGGCCTGCTGGGTCACGTAGCTCTGATGCAGGACCTGCTGCGGCGGCGTCTCCGCCGGGTGCAGACGAGAGGAAGGGACAGACGTCTCCGCCGTGGAGCTCGAGTGGGTTCCTGGAGAAACCACAGAGCCCACCGACGGTCCGAGCCCACTGTCCCGGTCCGCGGCGGGGTCCTGGCTGACACTGGAGTGTCTGATGCTGTCTACAGTTCTACCACCATGCAAGGCCTCCGAGTCCTTCTCATAAAACTCTGTACAAGTCCACCTGCCTCTTCGAAAAGGTTCTCCAGTACCGTGGTCCAGTTTGATGACCCTGAAGCGCGAGGAGCAGCTCACCGTGGAGGCGGCAGCAGCTGCAGATGCGTTGGCAGACATACCGGGGGGCTGATGCTGAGTGGTCGAGACTAAACCAGTCCCGGGTGGGTTCTGAGCACCTTGACTAGAACCAGACACGCCAACTTTCCTCGCATCCCCGACCGGATTGCTCACCAGCCCGGGTAGACCGGACTGAGGGGCGTTTGAGGACGCCGCGCTGACCACCTCCGCCTCCCCGGCGTTGTTCAGCGCTTCTTCGGACGAGCTTCTCTCACAAGCCGGTTCGTATTCGGCCCGCGACATGTCGAAGATCTCCGACGACACGTCTTCAGTCCGCGACTCGTCCGGGTCGTCCAGACTCTCCGTGTCGTCCGCGGCCCCTACAGCCGCCACCTGGGCCTGAGTCACGCTCGTAATCTGAAAGCAGCTCTTCTTCTTCGCCGGCATCTTCGACATGTTGGGCGGCGTGATTCCGGGTCCCGAGTGTCTCAGTTTGTCCTCCATCCAAATAAACAAAAACAACAAAAACAAAAACAAGACACGAGCTGTTTTTGAAGCTTTAAGAGCTCAGATCATCATAAAGAGCACACTCGCATCTATTTCCCTCTTCCTACTTAGCTGTAGTCAAGATGAATCTGCGCCATCCTCTTCCTCTCTCGGTCTCCTGTTGCGTTTCATGAGCTCACCGAGCGACGCCACACTTCGCGCCGTCTCGTCCGGCAGCAACAGACAGACAGAAGCCCGAGTCTTTACTCCGTCCGGGTCGGCCTGTTAATGTCCCGGCTGTCCACTTGTTGACCCGCCGTTGTCCTAAAGTGTGTCGGCCGGCTGTAGGAGCTACTTGAGCCCGAGGAGGCCCTGCGGTCCTTCACTTACTGAGCTAGCTAACAAGCCGAGTGGCTGCCGCCGCACACTCCCCCTACGTCGGTACAAGTATGTGAGACATCTCCCCGAAAGCGTTTCCGCTCACTTCACCGGCTGTGAGTCGTTCTTCGGCGACACTTGCTCCGGGACTATCTGCGGTAGAAGGCGAAATGAGCTTTTGTTTTTTAACGCTTGAAACAAATTGTTAATCTTAACAGCGCCAACAGCGCCCTCCCTCAAGATGGCTATGTTGTATGCGGCCGGCCGCGCTGCATCGTGGGTAAAGTGGCGAGCGCAACTTTCTGTACGTACGACGCGTTTGTGAATACACTTTGTGTTGCTTTCAATGACCCTCGGAAAAACTGTTGACACGGCGAACTCTCGAGCAGAAATGTGTCCTTGAACTTGAAAAAAATACATGTTTTTATTTTTGTTTCATGTAATGCGAAGTRAAATATCTGGAATCGTATTTTTTACAGAACTATTTATATTTCTGAGAGATTCCAAGATCCAAGTTACTTTACAAATGTAAACTTCACAAAAAAGAACGAACAGTCCTTTAAACGTAACATATTGAACAAGTCAGATGCTTGGTTTAAACAATATTAACATCTTCATATTCAGAGCAGTTGTTTGAAGTTTTTGTTTGTCAGTGTGTGGGGTAGATTTATGGAATGGATTAAATGAGCTCAAAAAAATTGCAAACTTAAACCAGCTTAAAAAAAACGTTTAAAAAGGAGCATACTGGGAAATATGTTATGTAGGATGGGTGTCTCAATATTATTTCAAAAATATATACATAATTGTGCATGTAAGGATGAGAATGTAAGATTTAATGCTCATTGAATGTGGGAATAATTTGTGTTTATCTGTGTGAGAACATTTAAATGTTGTGAGTTAAGAAGGGCAGGAAATCAAAAGATCTTGTATCTTTTACCTGCTCCTTTTCAAACAAATAACAAGGACCTGCCTAGAATGGATTATTAGTTCAAGAAAAATTTGATGGTTTCTTTTATTCTTACTTTTTATTTTGTTTTGTTGCGTAAAGATTATTATTAATAAATTTATTTGAAGGAGGAAAGGCACAGATATAAGATTTTTTTCTTCTTTCTGCTGCCTTTCATTTCATTATTAGGTTTTTTTGTAATTTATTTTTATTATTTTATTCTATTTTTAATTAAATGAAATGAATAAATGAATAAATTCTTGCTCATTTTTTAAACATTAGATTATACATGTCAGTTTTATTTAAACAGCACATTTAAAAGCAACTGTCTTGTCCAAAGTGCTTCAAAAAGTACATAAACTGCAACATAATCTATTAAAATCACATGAGGTCTATAAAGTGCTTGAAAAAAAAACTAAGAACAGGAAAAGTAAAATTACATGAACAGAAAAGGACTTTGGTAAAAATACATTTCACTGATGAGAAAACTACTTAAGTAGAAGTAATAAAAATGTTCACAAAAATTGAGAAAGTAAAATTAAAAGTACTTTTACACACCCTCTAATAAATAAATTGTTGAATTTACTGAACCAAAGTGGCTCCACTAAGTCAGGTTGAGTAAATTGAACAATTTACTCGACTAATCTTAGTGGAGCCAGTTGACTTGACTTTGGTGAGTAAATTCAACACTTCCTTTTTTAAAGCAGAACAACATTTTTCATGATGAGTTTGATCATGTTAATTTTGTAGCAAGTAACTGTTACATTTTAAAATAAAGAATCATTTTTTTCTTTAAAATGTAACAAAGTTAAGGTAAAAGTAGCTGTTTAAAAAATAGTTGGTAAAATTACAAAACCTCAAAAAAACTACTTAAGTATTGTAACGAAGTAAATATACTTAGTTACTATAAACCTCTGAAAATCACATATAGAAACCAACAAGTACAATAAAAACTGTAGTAATGATTTTTCAAGCAGAATTTAAAAGGRTGTTTAGACTCGGTAAGAATATAAAGGAGCTTGTTCCAGGGTCTGGGGATCCAATCCTCTGAGCTTTAATTTAAACCATGGCTGCACTGAGAGCATCATGGCTGGAGGATCTGTAAGCCACTTACAAAAAATCAAGAAAATCAGTTAAACAATTAGATGCCAAGCCTTTTAAACACAAAAAACATCAGGCAGTCAGAGTGCAAATCTGTTAAAACTGGAGTTATGATCATGACTTCTGTTAAAAGATGAGCAACAGAGTTCTGGACTGCAGGTGAATGGAGAGATGATTGCTCAAGGCCAACATGTCAAGACTTACAGTCATCCATTCTCGTGGTGATGAAGACATGGACATGTTTTTAAAGGTTTTTTTAATGATTTTGAATGAAAAATTGACATAATTGATTAAAGTGAAATTTTGACAACATGATGAATATTCTTCTCAAATTTAAAAGAACTGTCTAAAACARTCTAAGTCTCCTCACTGTGAAGAAACAAGAGGACCAAGAATACTAGGAAACACATTGAGAGGGGTTTGATTTCCAAAAACAACAATTTCTTGTCAGAAGAGTTTTTAGGATTCAGAACAACTGAAGACAAAAACAGATTTAAAAGGTTTATTATTTCATTGTTTAGCGAGGAACCTCTGGACCCTCCGGGCGGCAAACACTGCGGAGCAGAACACTGATGATGGGTTTAGAGACGGAGGATTTGCCAAAACGGGAAGTGGCTACTGCCCTTCCAACTGTAGACGAACAAGCCTGGGTGAGTCCACAGATGTTGGTCCAAGAGGGTTTGGATCCAGGTGGAGGAGTGAGATGGGTTAGGAGATCCAGAGAGCAGTCCAACGTCAGAGCCGGGTGGTCAGAGAGCCGGTAACAGATTCAAATCACAATCCAAGTAGCAGGGTCCAGAAAACAGAAATGGTGTCTAAGGCCAAGGATCAGAGTCAGCYTCAGAATCAGGCAGGGAACAGGCAGGAGGCAGAGGGCGAGAGGCAGGCAGTGGGTCAAAAATGAGAGATCAGACATGGACGTGGAAAAAGTGTTGGATATCTACTGGGCGAACCATTCAATCATCTGGCAGTGAGTGACTGTGGCTGAGGAGCTTATATACTGATGGGAACAGGTGAGGCAGATGAGGCTGATTGCTGTGGCACTGAATGAGGAGGCGTGGCATGAACAGGTGAGCAGAGCATGAGTGACAGGAGAGCAGAAAACGGATGGAGCAGCCAAAACATGACTATCTATCTATCTATCTATCTATCTATCTATCTATCTATCTATCTATCTATCTATCTATCTATCT